TATATCCAAGAGCAGTGGTTGACCTTTACATTGATACCAATTATATAGTCGTATGTACTCGGATGTGGAAATTACACTTAAATATTTTTCGAATCGATCCACACAACAGGCGGAAATATAGCACTATAGGCCACAAATATAAAACCAAACATCACAACACCACCCACGGTGAAGGGAATCTGTACTGAATATTAGTAATATATGTTGACCTCTAGTCAGTCAAGAGGGTGCAAATATAGCGAAATATGACCTTAACTTAGAATATATAACCACAGAAAGTAAGATTTTCGTGGAAGTTGTGTAGGGTATCACATCACTTCCGACTATATTGCTCCGCTCACTGGTTTTACACCTCGCGAGTTAATCTTTTTGGTCCATTGGAATCCCAAGCCCCCTGTGTACATCGATTGAGTCCTCACCGATAAAATTCGTAAGGCCATAAGGGAAATAGGAGAGGAGATTTATGGATAATTGCTTAAAAATTATATTGCCCTGAGGCAATCGTGATAACTATGGGGCTAATATTGTTTCGTTATTAACGGTAGCTTCCATTTTCTTCTGAAATAAACATCCAATCATTTATTTAAATGAAAATGTTCTTGGAATCCCAAAAACCAATACTATAAGTATTATTGGTTCAAATTCGAGGTATATACCCAAGTGTTGTTGATATTATGGACACATTTTCAATCGAAATGAATTTGTCATTGGGTACCAAATTTTCCGGCCAAATTTATTATAATTGGTAGCCTCCTCAGATAATAAAGGTCAATATTTTATGTTGGAAATGTTATGAAAATTTGCAATTTAGTATTTTAGGTCTACCGTTGGTTGCAAGGTATTCTTGGAAAACATTGGTCCAATTACTTGTTATACAATAGAGAATAAGATGCCTACCATTTTTCATTTCATAGAAAGTTTTAACCCCTCTTTCCAAAATCTTTCGCTGTTGTATAGTGGGCATGGAAGCCTAATTTCAAGTTAAAGTCATTATTAAAAGTTCAGCCCAATTTGACCTTTCATATAAGTCAACTCCAAACATGGACGTATATTTTCGGACGGGGGTACTTAGGTGGAAAATACGAAAGGACGAAACATCTCGAGCTATTACTGACAGACATGAATATTTGACTCGGATCTTAAATATACACTTTATGGAGACTATGAAGAATTTACATTATGGGAGGACTTCTTCAGTCATTGAGAACCCAATTATCCCTTTTACAGCCTCTTTGGTTGGGAAATGCTGTCGTAAACTTAAAATTCCGGTAATGAGAAAAATGAAAGAAAATTATTCACGACACATTTTATTGTATCGGATTACGATTGGTTTTTATTACAGATACATTAAATAAAGGAAATATATAAAAAAAATACCGACCAATGTAGGTATTTGCTCACATTTCCCATTTCTGCTTGCCAAAAAATAAAAATTTTCAATAATATCCACAACTTTTCTTTCAAACCACGTACCAATTTACAACCACATCATTCAACCCACTGTACAATAAAATATTCAAAACATCAAAAGAAACCGCACCAACAACAGCAACGACAACAAAAGAAAACTCAAAACACACTTACCTTTCAATTCCTTTGCCATCCATCGTGTTGCCAAAATGACAGCCAACTTGGAGTGGGAAAAAGCATCACGTGGATGAAATTTGGTCGCCCATGTACCCACATTCAATGGATCATCAAAATCCATTTTCGCCGAGGCATGAGCATGTGCCGATACATTTATTATGCGTCCATTTTCCGATTTCTTCAGGTGTGGCAGGAGCAAATGCGACAATAAAAACGGTGCCATATAATTGACTTGTAGATGCTGTTCGAAACCATCTGTGGTATTGGTTTTCACCGGATCGAAAATGATGCCGGCATTGTTGATGAGTACATCAACGCGTTCGAACTCTGCCATTATTTTGCGTGCAAAACGTCGAACGTTATCGAACGAACGTAAATCCAAGTAACGAGCTTCCACAAAGAACATATTACCAGCAGCACCACCACTGCTGCCATCGACATCTCCACCACCGCCACTACTGCCACCATCGGCAGTATCGTTTCCATTAACATTAGCTTCAGTGTCATTATTACCGCTTGACGATGACGGGTCCTTTGTGCCGCCGTTTGTGTTTGTTGCAGTCTTTTGTGCGTCCTTCAATACCTGACAGCTAAGTTCACGTTTTATAATTGCAGCTGCCTTTTCAGCAGCTTCCATATTGCGACATGCCAATATGACACGTCCTCCGCGACCGGCCAATGCTTTTGCAATTTCAAAACCAATTCCCGTATTGGCGCCTGTGACAATTACAATTTGATCTCTGATTTGATTGTCATTGGGACATCGTTGACCGCTCATTATGGACCTGTAAGTAATGAAAGAACAACAAGAAAATGCTGGTATTAGAAGTCCATTGCGACCACACAAAATGCCAGGCACTCTATTGTTAAAGGTGATCGATCCCCCCCATGGAATGCTGACCTGCTGGCTGGCTTGGTTGGTTGACTGGTGGCGCGTTTGATGCTGTATTCGGCCGACAATCAGAACAATCACAGCTTAATTATACTCTGTGTTATCCTTGTGGATATTTGAACAATGGTAGGTAGCAATCACGTGGCATGTTTGCTTTCAACACATTTGATTGGAAATTGGAAAGATTTTCATTTTCAAGTGACGCCAAGGAAGGAGAGAAATTAATGGCGTTTTTTGGGGGGAGAAACTAATGTTTTGTTAAAGAATCGCTGTTTTTGGCAATCGATGTTTGTAAGAGGCATTGTGTAAAAAGTAATGTGCAACAACAAACTGATTTTTATGTAGCAAAGGAAATATAAGTATGTACTTTGAAATACGTTTATTTCAAGAATTGAAAGGGAGTGTACAATTTGAGAGGAAATATAAAAAGTTATGTATTTGCTTTGCCATTAAGGATTTAATTTATAAATAAGTGGATTGGATTAATGCCATGAATTTTTGATTTTATGTATTTCAGTAATGTAATTATGCACTTACTTCGCACACATTTAACATACGACGTTTAAATCATTTATATTAAATATTTATATTCTTGATCCTGTTAAAAATTATATATCGATTTAGCAATATCCGTCTGCCCTTCTATTGAAATCATTTTGAATTTTGCACATAAAATTTTTGGTAGGAGATATCGGTCCACTTTTTAATATATCCCTCATATATCTGTAATTGTAACTCTATATGCAGAAATCTTGTGTCGAAAAGTGCCCGCAAATATGGAGATACTACTATCACATGTGAATTCCTGGTAGTAGTTCTTCTTCTCGTCCTGATAAAGGAAGAAGGCATCTTCAATGTTAGTTTGGACATTCCAGTTCCACTTTCAGCCACACATTCTCAATCATGGCTCACATATTTGTCCCAAGGGCGATGTAGATATAGATCCCATATATAAACGGAGCTAATGGAATGTTTAAAAATGGAATGTTAACAATAACATTTACGGACTGAGGCAATTTGACTAATTTCAAATTTGATTGGAAATAACTACACATATAACTACATATATAAACCGATCATATGATACCCTACACAACCTCCATGAAAATCTAACTTTCGGTGATACTATATTCTGAGCTTGGGCAATATTTTGCTATATTTGCACCCTCTTGATGTAAACACATATTACTAATATTCAGTACAGCTCTTCTAATTATTTGTCCAGATTCCCTTCACCGTGGATTGTGTTGTGATGTTCGGCTTTCAATTGCGGCCTATAAATCGACTCGAAAAAAATACAAAAAATTATGTTTTCGGTCCCCGTCATCCCAATATTATTATCTGATCATCATCGAAAATTATAAGCGTTATCCTTGACCATAACTGGAACCTCGTGGAGCATTTAAAAGTCATCTGCGCTATATTTCCGCCTTCCAGTGTGGTAATGGTTTACTAAATAATATCTGAGTAGTTAAGCACCTGTAAATATTTAAGCATAACTACCACATCCGGGTACATACGACAATATAATTGGTATCAATTTAAAGGTCAACCACTCCTCTTGGATATGCTATCAACTTCTCGGGTCTTTGTTATTCAGGTGTAAATATATATGCTATAAAATACAAATTTTGTCATTTTTCACACAAAAGGGACCCTGACTATTGTGTGAAAAACGACAAATTTTTGACCCGCTAAATATTGACCGATCTTTGGGCAATAATGGCGGCTTGTGGAGCGACCAGAAAAAACGACAAAAATAAAGTTTTTGGTACATTTCATCCTCTAAATATTAACCGATCTTTTCCAAAAACAATAGGGGTCTTCATTGGCCAGAACCCATCATACATGCAAAATTTCGTGAAGATTGGTCCATAACTGTGACCTGTATCGTGTTTACAAATTATAATGGACAGACGGACACACATGTCTAGATCGACTCAGCTAGTCGAGATATGACGATCGGTATACTTAAAGGTGGGTCTAGGACCAATATTTCGCGGCGTTACAAACTTTTGGGGCTACACAAAGCCATAATACCCTGACAACATAGTTGTGTAGGGTATAAAAACGTTGATATTTATTTTAAAAATCATACAGCCTTCCCAAGATTCTAGAAGCACCTTGGCTATAAAAGTATAAAGAAAAAATTGAGAAAAACGACGTATTGACAATTGGTTAAGGGAGTGGCTCCATAAGACCCATTTCGGAATCTATCTAGATTTAGCATTTTTTTAAAGTTTTATTCCCTTTAGAGAGTAACTACATGTGCGGAAGTAATGTAGATTTGGTAAAAGTACTATTTTTGTGCGAAGTGGGGTCAAATCGGATAATTAACAAGATTCGTATTACTACAAAGAATGGAGTTTTAAATACGATTTCACGAATTCAAAGAAAGTTTGACAAAAATAGAACGTTGTGTAGAGTTGAAAATATGGACCGTTTGTCGGGAAGGTACCAGAAGGAGTATCCCCCTTTGAATACGACATAGTTTTAGTAAAAATAGGTTATACAAAAGTTGGATCAAACGGATAATGCTTTCGCAGGATATTGTAAATTTATTTTTCAACAATTTGTTGACCATGATATTCTGATATTTTCCATGTTCGAGGTTGATTTAGGTCTGGAAAAATATGACGATGTTTTTGGTTAAAATAGGTAACACATTTCGAGAGTTGACGAGCGCACTATCCTACCAGACAGACATTTGCCAGCCAGTCTGATATTTTTGCCTACCGATTCCAACAAAATTCCGCATACATTAACCTGGACTTTATTCAGTACTCTGGGCAAAATGTTGTCTCAATCGGACCAATATTGGGAGTTTGGTGCACCATTTACATAAAATCCGACGAAACTATATATGGGAGCTATATCTAAATATGAACCGATCACTTTCAGAAAGTGATTCTATTCATATTCTCACAAGGAACCATGGGTCCATGTCGATTCCTTTTACCTGTGCCACAGTATGGTGAAGGGTATAATTATCTATATTGGTTCTCTTTTTAGGGAATTCCTCATATAACGCCACATAACCGCCACATCTGTATTTTAAGCAGCTTGGACACGTGCTTCAACCAAATTAGCTGTAATTATACCCTTCACCACACTGCGGTACAGGGTATTATGTCTTTGTGCATATGTTTGTAACAGGCAAAAATAATCGAGTTAGACCCATGGTTCCTTTTGAGAATATGCATAGAATCACTTTCTGAGTCGATTTATGCATGTCCGTCTGTCCGTCCATTTATTTTTGTTAACAAAGTGCAGGTCGCATTTATGATCCGATTTGGATGAAATTTGGCACAGGTCACTTAATTGGCCCAAGGGCGAACCCTATTGAAATTGGGGAAAATCGGTCCACGTTTAGGCATGGCTCCCATATAGGGGTACCCCCCAATTTTCGATATTTTGAGGTTCTTGAGCGCGTTTTGTGACCGAATTCGCTGAAAGTTGGTAAATTGAGTTCTTATTGGGTAGCAAATCTCCTTACTAAAATTATAAATATAGGTCAATTTTTTCGAATAGCCCCTATATAGGAGTACCTCCAATTTTCGGTATTTTGGTGTTCTTGGGTTCGTTTTATAACTGAATTCTCAGAAACTTTGTACATTGGGTTATTATTGGGTACCAAATTACTCCACTAAAAATTATAAATATAGGTCCAGTTTTTCTGGTAGTCCCCATATAACGGTACCCCCAAATTTTTGGTATTTTGGGGGTTCTGATCGTATTTTTCGACCGAATTGACTGTAATTTAGTACGTCGAGTTCTTAGTAGGTAGCAAATCTCTCCTCTATAAATTATAAATATAGGTCCATTTTTTCGGGTAGCCCCCATATATGGGTACCCCCAATTTTCGGTATTTTGAGGTTCTTGAACGCGTTTTCAACCAAATTCTTTGTAAATTGTTATTTTGTAGTCGTATATGGTAACAAACCTCCCTCCAAAAATTATTAATATTCGCTCCCTTTTAGGGGCAGTCTCCATATAACCCTCTTTGTATACCCTCCACCACACTGTGGTACAGGGTATTGTCTTTGTGTATATGTTTGTAGCAGATTTAGATGAAATTTGGCACTTATTTGGCCCAAGGACGAACTCTATTGAAATTGGTGAAAATCGGTTCAGATTTAGATATAGCTCCATATATATTTTCGTCCGATATAGGAACCAAAGTCCCTATATATCTCTCGATTTGCACGAAATTTAACACAGACTACTGAATTAGGTTCAGGAAAATGTGCGCTTAGTTTCGTGAAAATCGGTTCAGATTTACATATAGCTTCCATATATAGTTTTGTCCGTTTTTATGTAAATGGTGCACCAACGTCACTGTATATCTCTCGATTTGTACGAAATTTGGCATAGAGTACTGAATTAAACCTAGAATGATGAGTGTTGAGTTTCGAGAAAATCAGGTCAGATTTAGATATAGCTCCCATATATAGTTTTGCCAGATTTTATGTAAATGGTGCACCAAAGTCCCTATATATATCTCGATTTGCACGAAATTTGGCATAGAGTACTGTATTAAGCCTAGAATGATATGTGTAAAGTTTAGAGAAAATCAGATTTAGATATAGCTCCCAGATATATTTTCGTCCAATTGAATGTAAATGGAGTGCCAAAGCCCCTATATATCTTTCGATTTCACGAAATTAGCATGATTAGTACGTCATGCTAATTTCGTGAAATTAAGTCTAGAATGATGAATGATGATGAACCTGAAATTCGGTTCAGATTTTAATATAGCTCACATCTATTTTCGGCCGATTTAATGTAAATGGTGTATAAAAGTCCCTATATATCTTTCGATTTCCAACATATTTGGCATAGCGTATTAAATTGATTCTAGAATGAGGTGTGTTAAGTTTGGGGAA